GGTCACTTGATATGATTGTGAGTAAGGGATAGATTGAAGTTGGAACTTCATTCAGTAATTAAATAATTTGGTATCAATGTGAGTTATATCAAATGAGAAAATCTTAAATCGAGGTGCAGTCTACCAGACAGATCGTGTTGTACACTTATAAGACTAAGCAGTTAAGCAATAATGTGACCCCTTATTCCAACTCCATGTATTTAGTGATACACTCAAAGTAGACAAGAGATAATTCAGCGAAGCAAATTTTCTTTTTCGACGATATATGGATGACACATTCATCATACGCGATCAAAATACAGATATTGGGACTGTAGTTAAAAAGTTCAGTGATTGTCACCCATCAATCAACTTCACATCAGAATTTGAACAGAACTCAGAATTCCATTTTCTCTTTGTCTTATTGAAACGGAGACCAGATGGTACTCTTCAGAAATCAATTTATAGAAAGACTACATGGAATAGACAATATTTGAATTTCATAGCTGGATACCTCTTAACAGAAAGATGAATCTAATCCATTCTTTATCTTCAAGAATCAGAAGAATCTGCACGACTGATACTATCAACGATGAATTGGACAAACTACAGAAGATCCTCATGCAAAATGTATATTTATTGATGAGAACTTGAAATTGAAGCAGAGTACGGAGTAAGTAAGTACTCACAGTTCCATAGAAGACCTTGTTTATGAACGTTGGTTTCAAAGGTAATACTGTAGCAAAAATCCTGAAGAATCGGCTGTCCACATCACTGAAGAAGACATTGTTCTCTGTGAAGCTGCAGATCAGCTTCTCTAGTCAACAACTAATTATGGGGTGTGTTAAGGACAAGTTGCCGCTTTGGGCCACCTCAATGTGTGTCTACAAATTTACTTGCTCCTGTGTATCTAGTTGTTTAGGCCGCACAAAGCGCACACTTTCCAAACGTGTCTCTCAGCATTATCCTGCGTGATTGTCAAGGGGTGAATGTAAATCAATTAACAGTTCAATTATTGAACATTTGGTCAACTCTGGACATAAAGCTCAACCAGAATCCTCCTTCAGTGTCATTTATCGATTGAAATGGAGAATTTCGAAGGGAATACACCTCCGACAGTTGTGCACAGCGGAGGCAGTGGCAATTCATTAATTCAAACCTGGTCTCTGTGTGCAAAAGAAGTATGTTCGATCTTCTATCTTACCATGGTCTTTGCACTTTCACATTTTTCTATTTCATCATCATCACCTTCTTTACATCTATCTCTCAAGTAGACACTCAATATTCGCAACAATTTTCACCTCGTCAAACTCCTTGCCTTCCTCGTTATTTCCACTGTCTTAGATTATTACTCAACTACTTTGCATTCTTGATTCCGGTTTTTTAGCACTAGGTTAATGATGTAGCTATTATACCCTATTGTTTTATAATAGACTGTTATATGTTTATGATATATACATGAATACGATTGTACAGCTTTAGAAAATGATATTGTCTAAGAAAGAAAATTTTCTTCACTGAATTATCTCTTCTCTATGACACGCAAAGTAGTTTTGACTTTAAATTCTACATTCTCAGTGTACGTAATACGTAAAATGTGTTCAGTTCATTCCTCGAGTCACAAAAGTATATCATAATGCTGATATACAATTTTTGCTGTTTCTTCCAAGAAGATACGTTTAAGTAAAGGAGATACATCAGTTTATCACAACTGTTTAAACCTTTTAATTTACAAGGAAATGCAAAGACAACTTTCCGGCAATCTGCATCAACTGTTAACCAATGAGTCGGCCTGTTTAACATAGGAAATATTTGTCACACTGAGACATTAAGTTTATCTACTCTTGGCAAGCTGCAGAAATACTTAGAAGTGATTGTCTTGTTTTCAGTTTATTACAGACAGAGTTATCAGTCAAACATTTTTTCAACAGTTCATACAACTAACTATCCAGTAGTCCTTAATGTAAGGATAAAACCTGAGCACCGATTACAAGTTCATACCATATTAGATTGGAATATTTTTCATCACACATAGTGATATAGTATTTACTATATACTAATAAATAATACTATACATATTTTTCATTTCAAATAACTTAATCTAATATGGAATTCTTAAAATGACGAAAAATCTCCATTTGTTCATTAGCAAACAAACAAAAGGAAGTTACCAGCAAAAGGTAATTATCTTTTCAACAACTCATTTTCACATTTGTACATTGGTAAATATACAGCGAAAATTACAGAATGTTCCAAACACGTTTCCAATGAAAGGTCAAATTCAACAGATAAGTACATTGCATGTAGGGAGTAAAGACATAAAATATACTTCATTTCATGTATATATATATATATATATATATATATATATATATATATATATATATATATACATTTACAAGTATACAACTGTGAAAATGAGTCGAGGAAAAGACAGTTATCCTCGTTGTAACCTCCTTTTTGTTTCTGAGTGAATAAATGGGGATTTTTTGTCATTTGAAGAAATGCAAGGATCCTCAGGCGGTTAAGAGACCAAAAATGTTTCTCAGTCCCGTTTTTCAGGCCTCCTAAGACATATGCGAAATCAATATGATTGCGCACCACTTCTTGCAAACACTCAGGTCAACCTTATTTGGAAGTTTGACAAGATAGTGCTTCTTCCAATCGGCCGGCAGGTACCTTTCCTTCCTTCCTTCCTTCATTCCCTACTTCCTTCTGTCCTTCCAAACATTCTGCAATAGTGGTGTGAGCGCATCTGCTGATGTCTCTGAGTCTGTTTTCAATGGAAGGATTACATCCGGTCCTGCTGGTTTCCCGTATTTCATCAACTTCATGGCTTTCAGGACTTCATTTCTGCTTTTGTCGGAGGTCTTGTGTTCACTGATAGTTCTGTAACTGGTCTACCGGTGGTATTTCTCGACGCGTTGCAGGTGGTGTTGGTGGTGGTCGATTCAAGAGTTTCTTGAAGTGGTCAGTCCATCATTTCCTCTGCTCCTCCTCTTTGGTGGTAACTAACTTTCCTCCACTCTCTTTCATTGGTTTCGTCTGCGTTGATCCCTCCCCTACCGTATGGTGACCTGGTTATTTCATATAATCTTGTCAGGTCTATGTTTCTCTTACCAGCAGCCTGTTTTGCTTCAATTCGAAGTGTGTCATAGAAGTGTCTTTTGTCTTTGCGCGCACTCCTCTTCACTTCTTTGTCCAGTGTGGTGTTTTACAGGTTGTGTTCAGTTCCTCTTTTCGTTGTTCATCCTTGCAATGCATTGAATTCCTCTATTCCATCTTCTGATTCACCATCTTCATCTTCATCTTCCTCTCCCTCCTCTATCAGCTTCCATGTGTCCGTCGAGATCCATTCCACTCCATTCCATTCCTCCTCCCGTCTCTTCTTCATTCCTAACACGGTTATCCAGGTTTTCTGACACATCTTTTTCAATGAGTTCCAGTGTTCTTCCACACAGGTTTCTTCGGGTATCTTGTTAAATGTCTCCCATTATTTCCTCATGATTGACTGACTGACTGACTGACTGACTGACCGACGTGAAGATGTCATTCAGTTCAGTTTGTGTTCTGGGTGTTCAACTTCAACTGTGGTTTATCAGCACCAACTTCTATGAAGGCTTTCAACATGATTTTGAAGGCAGTTTCCTTGCACTGGATAGTGAGTGGTGTGAACCTACATCTACTCCTCTTCCTCATCTTGTGTCCACTAGACTGAATCTCCATCTCCTCATTCCTCACATTGCGATGAAGTCGATCTGATATTTAGTGTGAACATCTAGCGTCTGCTGAAATCCATGTCACTGCCTTGTGAATATCCTCGTGTTTGTACACACTGCCTCGCCTCGTCTCACCTCACCTCACCTCACCTCACCTCACCTCCAATCACCAAATCGTTAAATGAGCAGAAGTCTGCAAACAGTTCTCCATTCTCATTCATCATTTCACCAAGTGCCTCTCGACCCACGATCAGTTCTCTTCCTCACATTAAAATGAATTTTGATGTTGCCTGCTGGTGTGGTGTCTTGTTCAGTACTGATTGCATTTGTCTGTAGGATTCCTCCTTCCTCTCTTCATCTGCATTATTTGTAAGTGCATGGCGTAGTATTGTACGATTGTGACTTTCATTGCTTTTGAAGTGAATGCATCTTGCTGTCATGATCCTGATCGTTGAGGCGATTGGTTCCCACCGTATGGGAGAGAGCCTTCGATGTTGTTGGGGATATCATGGTGGCCACTCCGAACGTCAGTGTGCTCATGGTTATGGTTTGGGTGAGAGTATCTGATTAGATAATTGACTATCGAGTTAACAGTTTGGAGGGTCCACCTCCTTTCCATCTGCCTTCTCAGATTCCCAGTCAAGCACTTTTATACCATATCTTCTGATTTCTTTTGCCATCTGGGCAGCCTTGTCAGCCAGCTTCAAACATTGTGTGGACATTCCATGTCTCTATGCTTACTTTTGCTTTTATCGAATGCAAACCATAAAGAGATAGTCGGATGTGAAACACGATGCTGAAGGTAATGAGTGGTTCTAAATTTTAATATTTACGTGCCACATTTTACTCATTCTGTAATAACTATGAAGATGGGAAATAGCAATAATGGGCAGAAATCCAGGTGGCCACACTTTTGATCGAGATTCAATTTATTTAAATGAAAGTTAATCCAAGAAAATTTGGCAAAATTCTGTCGAGGTTTATAACAAGATATTACGCGGGGTTAAGACAAACGATCGGCTTTGTTGGTCAAACGGACCGCTATTTAGCAATCTACACCTCCCTATATTACTCATAGTAATTTATATATTTCATTGGCTCGGGGTGTATTATAGTCTTTGATTATATTTGTCACAGTACACATATATGTTCGATGCATATGAAGTTTATTTCTACTTAACTCCATCTCCATCAATGTCTCCATGAACATCTTGAAAAATAGCATCAGTCAGTCAAGAAAGAAACAGTGTTCAAAAATATAATTTGCAAAGTTTAAAAAAAAAATCATAATAGGTAACCTACTATCTGTATATGCTTTATCAACGCATGTCGGTAGTTCAAGTAGCGTTGTAATGCAATGGTCATAGTCTGCATTTACAGCAGTAAAAACGTATAGGTATGTTGATAAGATCAGAATCAGTTTCAACATCTTTACTTTTCTCCTTGAAGTATAATAAAAGGCCAAGTTGGAAAGCAAACAGCAGACTTGAAATGAAAAGCTACTTTTTAAGCTGTTTTTACCTATATATACTAGTTTCAACCAATCAGAAATTTGTCACCAGACTTTTCTCACTGACCAATCACGTGACTTTATAGGCCAAGGAATGAACAGATTGGAGGTAACACTTTCTTTTTTTCTTTTCAATAAAAGCTATTCACTTCATTTGTCAAATTGCAAACATACAGTAAGAATAGTCCGTTCATGGTTAGAAATATATTTGTAATAAAAAATAATACAAACAGGACAAGACATTTCGTTCCACCTTGTGTCACCATGGTGACCCAAGCAAACCATGTTAATCAGTTATTATGATTGTTAATTGTTTGAATCCCCATCTTATTGTGATTTAAAAACAAAATTGTAGGCTTCTAAGCTTCTATACTTTGTAACAATTGACCATTCTGCAAATTATCTCCTGTTCTGGAACACTCGTTTCTTTTACTTCGTAATGTTTTGCGATATTGTATGTTTGTTTTGCCTGATTCTCTAGCCATATATCGTTGTCACTTCTCTCGTTGCTACATGTACTACTTATATGTATGTTTATAAGTAGCCGTCACTACACTGGGAAATAATTAGTCTCAGAGAAAATTCAAAATGCAAGAGATAACTTTTGCTAACTTCTGAAATATGTCAACATTTTGAAGATAACGTAAAACTTCTAAATAATGTAGTCAAGATTCGATCAAAAGCATTATGATGATATTCTTACTTAAATTTCCTTTTCTAACACAAGTTTGACATAGGAGTTTTAAATGTTCCAGCCAGAGTATCAGCTGAGATTTATTGAAATTGGTTAGCCTAGTGGATAAAACTAATGTGTTTAATACAATAAATAAGTATTGGTTTCAACCTTGGGAAAGAACACTAGTGCTTTGGCGTGATTACAAACCAAGTTGACAATTCAAAAATTATATGAAATTTATGTCATCCATTTGTGACAAAATATTAAGCTGACGAGTTTCAAATGGGAAGAAATGCGCATCCTAGGTTCAATTACTAGCCACTATTCATCATTGAAATGTTAGTCAATTTGATGAAACTGATTCTAATACTATGGATGATTATTTATTTATTATTTATTTATCCCTTGGGTTCCTAGTGGAACATAGGGCCTCAGTAGCACGTCTCCATTCCACTCTCTTCTATGAAATCTTTTCAACCTGGTTCCACGATAGCCCACAAGCTCTCATTTCTTCCCCACACCATCTCCTCCATGTCACCATCAGCTGGGACGCCCAACTCATCACTTCCCATCTGGGTTCCACTCGAGTGACTGGCCTGACGCGTGATGTCCCCAGTTGGCCTTCTCAGTGTATGCCTAATCCAATCCATCTCCACTTCCTTCTGCATATTTGTTGAGCGATATGGTTCTTGGTTGGTTTGTTGCCAACCAGCCGGAGTGAGTTCCTTGTTGCTTATTATTTCTGGACATCTGATCTTCAGTAACGAGCCAGCGTATGTGGCAGTTGTTGATGAATATCTGTAGTTTGTTGGAAATCCCTTTCGTAATGCGTCAAGTGTCTGAACCATACATGAGCACTGACTTGACTGGTGTTGGTGTTGAAAATCCGGATCTTGTTCCACACGCTGAGTGCAGAAGATCTCCACACTGGTTTCAGGTTAATGTAGGAAGGCCTGTCTTGCTTTTCCAATCCCCGCTGGTTTTGACATCCTCGTCTGTGCCGCCTGTAGTTAATACTATGGATGATAGTAGTTATATTTTCCTATGGAATCACTTTAATTGTATTTTCACAACTACTAATCAATCTGGTTCATCAGTTCATAAAATGAAGAAAAAAGATTTCTAGAGTGTTAATTTTTAAAGACTGAAGGTATACTTCAAGAAAGGTAACATTGTTGTTAAATGTTTGCAAGCTGATGGTCAGGTAGGTATAGTAAAATTGGGTGGCAGGGCTCAGAATCAATCTTAATCGTTGATTTTAATTGTTATACTGAATTTAGCATTTTCTCACTCCTCATTCTTCTCTTCCATCATTTTCTTCTGCCTTCGACTGACTGTTCTTTATTTCTTCTTCTTTCATCTTAGTGCTTTGTAGCAACTTGGACCGTTACTAAGTGATGCTTAGTTCTATGTTAGTGTTAGTGATTGGTGGTAAACTTGGGTTTCATGTTTCTTAACACTCTTTGGCATCCTTTGGAAATTTCACCCTGTATCCTTCAATGTCAAAGTAGGAGACTTTAAAACTGACCTAATCAAGCTACAATAGACTCCTTGTAGGACTAAAGTGTGTCTGCAGCTTGGTCATCAGGTAATCATGGATGCAGTTTCCAGGTTCGAGGTATTCACTAAAGATTAAATGAACTAATAATTCACTCTGTTAAATACAAAGAAAGCAGAATTTGAAGCCCTTCGTGATATATGGCTTTCAATGCAGATTTCATGTTTTCTCATACATGATCAATAAGATTTATCTGTGCTGGAAAGAGACTGAGATGTCTTATGAAGTGTAGGTTTGAGTCACCGTCAAAAACACAATTTCAAAAAAATGTCTTCTAGCAATAATGCAACCAACATCATTTTGGATATGAAAAGTTTTCACCAGATTTATCTTGTTAAGTATTACTCATAATTTGTGGCTTTCTGTATGATATTAAATCGTAGTAATCATATCTACCCGCTACTATCGTCTGGTGACTGAAGTAGAGCTAAGGTTTGGGACTGAAAAGGTATTCAAAGAAAAGGTCTCTTCTGCTGTATATCCATAAATCAATTCATCAGCTGACTCATTCTGTCTCAATGACAGGTTTAATCAGAGTGAATAAAATGAGGCTTATTTCTGTAGCTACAATTGAATGCAGAGAAATTAAGACTATATGAATAGCTAAACATATAACTTATTTCTGTGTATTCGTCTAATTTGGTAAATTTTACAGAAAGTGTGAAACTTATCTTCTCGCCTGCCTTTATCCCCATTATTATTTTTTAGTGATACAAACCTGAATATATAGTCTTATTTCTATTTTTGAGCAATCGCATATCATTGACGTGTGTATAAATTGAAGACGAAATGAATACTTCGGTAGTAGTACCATTGAAACCGCTAGTCTCCAAATTACGCAACTGGTGTTCTACGGACTAAGTTATGAGATCCCAATACTGGCTATATATTAACTCGTATATTAGGACACCGGGCTGTTGGTTCAAGTTGTTTTATGACACAGTTTTATTACATCATTCAACACTAGTATCGACAATAAGGACCTGTGAAACTGTGGTTACTCTCCATAGTCTAACCAGTAGTTCCATATTATTTAAGGGTCTTATTCTTAAAACGAGACTTTGTTGCTGTCCCTTAAGGGAAAATTTCTATTTCAAGTGTAATTTAAATGGTATTGATATCATTAGATAAACATTCTTGAGACTACGTTGTATCAGAAAATCTCCTAATGTCCATTTAACCGTAAATACTAAGATCTAAAATTGTCTCCGCTCCAATTAATATTTATCTAACCTATATAAAACTTCATTAGGTAACTTTTGAATTGAGTTGTAGCGATCTAATTCGTAAATTTCAACTATAGATCATGATATCTAGAACAAAAGTTATCTTTTCTCAGGTAAACCTTTTACTTAGGTTAACAGTTTCGCTTCTTCAAGATTTGTAGAAATCTTTGATCCTGTAAATTTGGTGCTCTTTTCAAATCATTTATTAAGTATGGATGATAAACTGAACTTTCTGACATTTTACTGGGTTACTACTGTTGTTAATATGAAAATGTGTTTACTTTTCAGTAGATCAGCTTATACAGTTTACGAGATTAACAATTTTTCAGTGCTCCGCTGTAGTATTTTAGCTAAATCGGTAAGTTTATCTGAGCTTACTTCATGCAAATATGAAATATTTTAAAAATGATGAAGTACTGACTCCTCGTTATAAATGTCCAGTGGATTTGGACGCGGTTAATTTATAAACTTGAGGACTGATTAACACCAGTTCCCAACCTTCAGCTATTATGTTTCAGTTTCTTCGGTTTATTATTCAGAGTAATCTACATTTGAGTGGGTAGCTGGTATGATCTGCATTCCGATTTTCCCATGAATAATTGTACCGAATACTCGTTTTCCCCTACAAACTGGTAAAGAAGGTGAAATTAGACGTATGACAAGTCTCCACTTACGTTCACTGAATGCCAATAATCTAAAACGTATTCATCTCGTTGACTAGCTGTGAAATATAGAGAGCGTCTTCCGTCCTTTTTGGGACTCGTCAGCTAGGTGAACCTGCACCCCAGTCAATGATGTTGTTCCCACTTGGACTCAAACCCATTACCCATCGCTTCGAACGCCAAATAGTTATACACTAGGCCAGTGAGGTATGACAACCACCTCTTGTTTGATATTTGTAATTTCCCGTTGCAATACAGGGTCGAATTACTCTCTAGTTTGCAAGTGTATCACGTTGATAAGTTCCAAATAGGATGAAACTTGCATCCTGAACTTTACTGCTAATCACTAAAATGAAATCAATACCATGAATAACCGGAAGTACCGAGGGTCACGCGTAGGAGACAATCCGCTAACAAAGGTCAAGCAATTCGACTCTGCACAGCATAGGGAAATTACAGGTATCAAAAAATCTAAAGTATACTTGAATTTACTGATACAATCCAAGGCAGATTTGTGAACAGTCGAATGTTCTAGTCTTCAATGTAATTTCCTTGGGAATGCTTGAATCTCAACGTAGCATAATCTTAAGAGAATTTCAGTGGAGAAAATGACATGGTAAGATTATTAAAGTGCATCTATTGAAACGGTTGAGATGTATGCTACGCACGCCAAGGTGAATTAAGACTATATTGGTAAAAAGTTAAGGGCCTCTAAACCAAGATATTGAACCAAACCACTTGAAGTCTCTTATCCTCACTTGTTGTGGTAGAAAATGAAGATAGAGAACTAATTATGTTCGATAGCAAGGTGAAAGGGAGAATTGACGGTGGTTTGGACACTACCTTCCACCAGAAAC